AAGTAAGGTCGCGCGTCGACACAAGAACCCCGCCGCTCTACCGAGAGATAACTTTTGAGAGCTGCCGGCAAGCTCGGCCGTCGCCGCAACGGCGGAGACGAAGTTTTGGTCGTCTTCTTGCGTCTAACGAACGGAGAAACGGTCACAAAGTCTAGCATGACCTGAAAACCAAAATTGATCGTGGTTTGTTTTTTAAGATATTTGAATTAGTAGTCATTCGTATAAAATAAAATTGTTTACACCAGAGCCTGCGTTCAGTCATCGACATAATACATACATCGATATCCAGGGCCCACGGCGATGACGTAGCAGAATGGATTTTAGGGCCCTATTTTGGTCCAGCCGATGAAGGCAAGACCGCGACGAACCCGACCAATGATGGCAAGATTCATTATCCGGCCTACTAAGGCAAGACCATAGAAAAACCAGCCGATTAAGGCAAGAATCATTATTATTATTAGGGTTTACCTTATTAAATTTTCAAATATTCTACCATTATTATCAAGTTTTACAATTTGAGATATGTATCCAATTACAACAATTCATCATGAAATACACGCTGATAGTACTAAACATCGACAAAGAAAACAATTTTAACTTAACCGCACAGCACAAAGAGCCACAGTTTTGTAATGAGAATAGGCTCCGGCACGTTCTGCACAATTATTAGGTGCGCAACTAAGTTCCCGCTGTTTGTCAATAGATGGCTCCAGCAGTAAGTGCTGGTCGATTTTGACATATCCAAAATGTCATGAACCAAGCTTAGACATATGGTAAACAAACCGCTTTGACACGTTAGTGATTTTGTTTTGGCGTCATATACTTTTGGTTGTGTGAAAATGTCTGATTTTGTGCCAAATAATCGTCATTTGCGGGAAGTGTTGATTTTCTTATTTCAACTCAAAGAAAAGAAAGTCATGGGGACTGCCCGGTCATGCTTCTACATCGTCGGCTCGGCCGAATATTCACGCTGCGAAGGTTATGCTGTGTATTTGATGGGACCAGGTCGGTGTTATTTATTATGAGCTGTTGAAACCGAACGAAACCATCACTGCTGAACGGTATCGAATTCAATTGATGCGATTGAGCGGAGCACTGCGCGAAAAACGGCCACAATATGAGCAGAGGCACGAAAAAGTGATTCTACTGCATGACAACGCTCGGCCTCATGTTGCCAAACCCGTTAAAACCTA